GCCGCCGTGCCGATGTAGCGGGCTCCGGATCCCAGCCTCTCCCCTGCTCCCGTGCTCTGCGGATCTCCCCTGACCGCTCTCCACGGCCCGGACCCGGGGGCTGGCCCAGGGCCCTGCAGGCTCTGGCGTCCTGATGCCCCCAAGCTCCCTCTCTTGAGAAGCCACCAGCACCACCCAGACTTGGGGGCAGGCGCCAGGGACGGACGTGGGCCAGTGCGAGCCCAGAGGGCCCGAAGGCCGGGGCCCACCATGGCCCAAGCCCTGCCCTGGCTCCTGCTGTGGATGGGCGCGGGAGTGCTGCCTGCCCACGGCACCCAGCACGGCATCCGGCTGCCCCTGCGCAGCGGCCTGGGGGGAGCCCCCGTGGGGCTGCGGCTGCCCCGGGAGACCGACGAAGAGCCCGAGGAGCCCGGCCGGAGGGGCAGCTTTGTGGAGATGGTGGACAACCTGAGGGGCAAGTCGGGGCAGGGCTACTACGTGGAGATGACCGTGGGCAGCCCCCCGCAGACGGTAAGGTGGTCAGGCCAGCCCTTAGCCCTCCGCCTGCATGAGCAGAGGGGAGACAGGCCGGGGATGCCTCAGGCTGGCCCCTGCTCAAATGGGCTGGTGGGGACAGCAGGAGGGACCCCTCCCCAGCCATTCCCCGGGGTCACGTGGTTGTTGGCAGAAGTGTTCCCAAGCTCCCCTTTCCCTTCTCTCCCCTGACTGCCTAGTTCCCCTTGCTCCTCATCTGACACATACGCCCTCCGGAAGGATTTGGGGCAAGAGAGACACATCAGCTGGGGACCCTGACCTGGAGGAAGGGTCCGCCACAGAGGCACTATAACAGGTGTCAGCCCCCTCTGACAGTGGCCCAGTCCGAGTCTCCCAAATCCCACCATTCTGGAGGTTGGCCACCCAACCTTGTCCCCTCCTCTGATTCCCACCATTGTTCCCAGCACCTCCAGGACCAAGGAATCCTGGCAGCAGTTGAATCAGCCCCTTGCTCCCACCATCTGGGCTGCCACTGGGACGGCAAACTGAGGTTGCCGAGGCCCCCCCGATTGCACTCAGCCCGGAAGCCCTGGACAGGCTCCTGCCGTCCCCTCCTCCTCCCCTTTTCCCTCTCGCGGGCTACACTCCAGCCCCTCCCCCATCCCACACC